CATAAATACAAAACAGAAACAGACTCATAGACATAGAATTCAAACTGGTGGTTGCCAAGGGGGTAGGGGGTGGGAAGGGACAGACTGGGATTTCAAAATGTAGAATAGATAAACAAGATTGTACTGCGTAGCACAGGGAAATATATACAAGATCTTGTGGTAGCTCACAGAGAAAAAAATGTGACAATGAACGTATGTATGTTCATGTATAACTAAAAAATGTGCTCTACACTGGAAATTGACACAACATTGTAAAATAACTATAACTCAATAAAAAAAAGTTAAATAAATAAATAAAACTGTTCTAAAAAAGAAAACAAGAAAGCAAGAAAGAAAGAAAAGGAAAAAGAGACTGAGAGAGCCAACGCCTTAACTCACACAACTGGCGGTGACAGCAGGGGTGGGGCCAGGGGGCAAATGCTTGGTGCTTGGTCTCCACATGTTTGCACGAGCAGTAAGTATGGATTACCCCACCAGCCAGCCAGGCGAAGACCAAAAGGATGAGTAGAAATCATCACTTGTCTAAACACCCAGATAAACCGTGCCGAGTGTGTGGGGACACACACAGGTGGGGAGGGTGATGTGTACTCTGTGAAGGGAAAAAAGCAGATCAAGATATTTTAGTAATCATGAACGTATATGCATCTGACCATATAGCTTATCAGGGATTTAACACCCTCCTCTCAGAAAGCGATAAATCAAACTGTCGAAAATTAGCAACCACAGAAGCTATAACAGCATGAAGAGAAACATTAGGTATATGTAGAGACTTACACCATCTAATATAAAAATATAGTTTTGTTCAGGCATACATGTAATATTTACAGAAGCTGAACAGGTACAGACCACATAATAGTCTTCAATAAATCATTGGAAAAACCAGTATCTTGAGGTCTGCTTGCTTATCACAATGAAACAAAAGTGAAAATAAGTGACAAAAATGTTAGCTAAAAATAGTCCGTATGTCTGGAGACAAAAACATCATTAAATACATCTGATCTGAAGAAGAAATTATACAAAATTTTAAAATACTAAGAAGCAAACAAGAAAAAGTGCTTCTCAATCTGTACGTAGTAGAACAAATGCAGTGCTCAAGAGGAAGTTTATAATTACAAATATATTTGTCAGAAAAGAAGAGAGAGAAAAAATAAATCACGAAAGTCTCTAAGGGTCCATGTAATTGTCAGGCGTGTTTGTACAGAAAGCTTTTCCCTGTGGCTTTAATTCAATGCAGGGAGACTTAAGAAGACACACTACCTTCTTAACTTCTTCTTATCGAAGATCTCAGTTTTATGTTCTCCTAGGGACTGGCAGGTTCATGTTCCTGGGAGTATTTATTCTCCATGTTCTATCAAGACTCGGAGGGATGACTCACTTCGCTGGCACCGCACTGCCGTCCGCAACAAGGCACCAGCTGTAAGATTCAGGACCAGCCCCTCAGCTGCCACGTGCAAGGCTCCGGAGGATTCCTGGCCCCCAAGCATCCGTGCCAGGAACCTTTGTGAAGCTGCCTTCTTCCCAGGGAGCCCCACACGAGCAAGACCTACACGGACTCGTCAGGCCTTTCTCTTCTCTGGGCCCAAAGCCGGTCCCCTCATTCTTTTCCAAATACTGATTGGGAAATACTGAGAACCAGCCCAGTAAGCCATCGAATGACCCCCTGAGTGAAACTGACACCTGTTTCTGACAATTAAAAAATATTTATTTATATTTTTGCTTTATATTGATAAAGCAGAACTAAATGCTCTGAATATATATATATGCACACATATATATACACATATAAATAAGAGTGAAAGAGAACATTTAGTCCTTTTTTGCTCTAAGTTCTAAGGATACAGGAAAAAACCAAAATGACAATTATCCCCGCCCTGGGACCTTACAGTTTAGTGGGGGAAGATGAGGCAACTAGCAAAATATGTACCACATGGTACCATGGTGCTGCGGAGAAAGGAGAGCCAGTAACGGACGAGGCGGGTGAACGGTGGGAGAGAGATGGGCGGCGATGATGAAGGACAGATCTGGAGCTGCGGTGGACTGCGGTCAGGAAAGAAGGCCACGTCACCCTTCTCCAGTCAACCAACACCAGACCCTCTGTCACGGGAGCCCCCCTTCCTTCATCCTTGCCCCATCCAAGCCACCACCAACTTCTTTGTAAGTTCGTTCATCCCCTGTCTTGTAACCCATTTCTCCTCCCCATCCCCCACATATGTATGTCCCCGTCCTCTCTCCTCCCACCAAGACCCAGCTCACACCTCTCCCCTTCCAGGCAGCCTTCCAGGATGCCTACCTGGCTTCTGCGCCCCATCTCGTTTACTATCAGCAATGCTCTTAAAGCCCTTAGCCCTGACTGTGGCCAACTCTTGGCTGTTTGAGTACAAAGGGAAATCGCAATGATTACGCTTTGGGGATGACACTTTCTCTATATCACAGAACATGAGTGATAAGAAAAAAGTATAGTGAGTGTTGATGCTGTGCTGCAAAGACCCACAACCGGCCTGCCAAAATGCTCTTGGAAATCTGAGGGGTTTCACCGCGTTGCTTCTGAAGCCCCAGCCTCCTCATTCCAGCAATGGGAGTGAACAATCCCTGCTTCGTGGCACTGCTGGGAGGACTGAGCAGAGCTAAGTCCTCGGCATGTGCTTGGAACACAGCAAGCCAGTTGGTGTTCACAGCCACCATCACTTGAGAGGTGAGGCTTCTCTTCTGCCTCCCCTCCTGATGACCCTCCCCCTCCCCCCGCCACCCCGGTTCAGATTCCCAGAGCTACCTGCCTCCCACCTCCCTCCCGGCATCAGTTTAAAAAGCAAGCCCACTGTGACTCATTCAGACCTGCCTGGTATCTCGAGGCTCATGTCCATGTGTCACCTCAGCCAGCATTTGCATCTCACAGCTTCTAAGTGTGGGAAAGCTCCCAGGCTCACAGGTAGGTTGGGAGAAAGGTGGGCAGGTAAAGGAGTTTCAGAGCGAAGTTCTCCCTCCTGCTTCCCCATGGTGGACAGCGAGGAGCTCGCCCAGCTGCTGCCGTGGACAGCTGCCTTTGTGGTCAAGGACGTTCTCCGAATCTCACATCCAGCCCCTGAGAGCCCTCCCTGCCCCGTCCTGTCAGGAGTCCACTGTGTGCAGCCGCACCCCCGCAGCTAGCCAGGGGGTTCTGGGGACCAAGGAGACAGGCCCCCCCCCGAGGACACCACAGATGACCACAAGAGCGCCTCGTGGGAGGCTCTGTAAACGGCATCCCAGTCTCCTCTGCATGTAAGCTTCTCACCATAAATGAATATCCAGCATCAAATGTCAACCCCGTTTTTGGTGTGAATTTGGGTAGCTTGAACCCAGGATTCAGGAGCTGGTAATTCCCAGGGCAGATAACTGCCAAATGCATCTCTGAGTCTGCCAAGTTAGAGCCAGAGCCCAGAGGGAGCGCCAGGGGCTCCAGCAAAGAGCAGCCCGTCCGGCCCTGACCCCACGTTCTTACGACAGTAGGAGGATGCAGAAATACCTGTGACTCCTCACGGGACCGGGCCTCCTAGCCCCTCTGAGTACAAGTTCCTTGAGGGAAGACTGCTTCTGACGGCCCGTGATTCCGTCAGACCTGAGCGCCTCGTACACAGCTCGGGCTTCCTCCGGCGGATTAATCAGAAGGATGCAACAGCAGAGTTCTCCACACTCCACATCCCGTCTGACGGTGTTCGTGGGTGGGCCCCCAAGGTGGGGGGTGCCGTTTCAAGGTGTTTAGCTTCAGTTTAGCTTTGTGTCCTACACGTGATGGCAGGAAACTGGGCAGTGCCACCCCGTGCTGACGGGAGGGAATCCCAGCGCTAACAACAGCCAGAACACAGGCAGGAGAGGTGGGAACTGCCGTGTGGTGTCTTGCTGAAAGGGACAAGACTCATAAAATGTTTCCACCACTTATTCAAGATTTTCCTTGTAAATCACTGGCTGGAGGCGTGAGATTGTAAATCATTTCCAGTGACGCCAGCTGCCACAGACCCTGGGCTGACAAGGCCGAGGCTCCGAGTGAGCAGCTCCACCCTCCGCGGAGCTGCTGCTGGTGGGTCTGATTCCCGGGGAACACCACTAATAAATGGGTCCCACCTACGTGGGGACGAAAAGAAAATGCTTAGTGAAGAAGAAAACTTGTTTTTGTAGAAAAACCACCTGAGCGGTAGAATTTCTTGCTTTGTTCTAGTGGCTTTAGGGATGGGCTGTAACAAGCGCCAAGCAGCAGGCAGGCTGCCTCGTTAGCCTCGGCGGCATCTGCTCGCACACCTGTTCCTGCTCGTTAACCCTTCCCGTCGGATGGTGTTTCCCTATCTTTGGGAGGAGGCATTCT